CTCCCTCCCTCTCTCTCCCCTCCCTCCCTCTCTCTTTCTCCCCTCCCTCCCTCCCTCTCTCTCTCTTCCCTCCCTCCCTCTCTCTATCTCTCTTTTTTTAAAGGAATGAAGATGCTATAATATTAAACTGTTAAACTGAACATAATACTTTCTTTTGTAATTAAAGCATCTAGCTGTTAAATTCATAGGTACTGTAGTAATTACTGTAGTCTATAGTAATTAATATAAAACTCTGTCATCTAGAATAGTTATATTCGCAGAGAAAATAATAAGGTTTCTGTGCACTTTCCTGCAATGAAATATTCTTTGAAAGCTACAGCTGACAAATTTGTGAATGATATTAACTGCAGAACAAGGGAGAAATACCCCCTCTCTCTTAAAGTTAAATCAAAAACTGGTATCAATGATAAAATATTAATCGACGTGCAGGAAAAAACTATGACAGTAAAACTTTGAAGTTGATTACAGTATATCATTCATACATTATCAAACTTTAGGAATTAAGTTTTCTTCTTGTTTCTATTTTATATTTCTTTATCTAAAGAACAATTAAGTTCATGTGATGGAAACTAAGTACAAGACATTCATCTTGGTTTGCATGCTACTTGGATAATTTGTCTAACGCTAAAGATACCAGCCAGTTGCACTGGCTTCTGCTTCATTTTCAGGGATAGGTTTGGGTCGAGTAGACTTCTATATGGGGAAGTAGGTGGGATTTGTTGCAGGTGGGATGAAGAAAGGCTAGAGTATAGGACTTAGCACACCTTCAGAAGTGCACTGGACATTTAACATGGTTGTTAAGTTAAACACCTTGTTTGAAGGAAAAAAGTACAGGTTGAATGGATTACTGAAGCACAAATTAGTGCCACCCTATTTCTGTGCTCACACAATTCCATTTTCAACACAGCTGAGGAAGAAAAGCAATCTAATTACTTAATATCAAGCAGTTGCATCTACTCTTTGTATGAAAAAGGTGACAAAATACGTCTTGAAGACTAAAGACCACTGTCCCAATATTGCTAAGTATTGCTTGCATATTTTTAAGAAATTGGTGTTCCCCCAAATATAGGAGGTCTTTGTTAACATGTTCTTTTCATCATTACCGTGAATCTAGATGTTAACATCAAATGAGCAGTAGGCTTATTTGTTGCCTGAGACAAATATATCTTCAAATTGAGATAGGATTAATGAGCTAATGAAAGTAGCAACTTGCTGCTTGGATAGGATGGATAGACATTATCC